AACCATCACTCAGGTCCGCATTCCTAACCTGAAATGGTTCCAGGCAACTGCTCTAGGAGGCATGGTGGCTCATGTGCTGCCAGTGTGTGCCCTGTGCTGGGCAACCCCAGGACCCTCCCCGCGGGCCGCTCTGGGCAGCTGTGGGCAGCTGTGCGGCTGAAGAAGTGCAGTGTGGAGTACGGTGCTGTAGTCATCTGTGCCTGCAACCTCAGCCTTGGCTCCATGCCGCTGAGACGCCCCGAGGCTTTGCACCTCCCTTTACCAACAGAGGCACGAGGACTCACAAAGCTTGATCAGTGACACACATCTGTTGTCCCAGCACTCGGGAGGCTGAGGCAGGAGGATTGCTGTAGTTTAAGGCCAGCCCGGGCTACCTAACTGAGACCTCGTCTCAATAAATAAACAAAGGAAACATTTAACTGCAGCAGCCTACATTGACTGCAGCCAGACGTCAGGGGACAGAGGCTGGAGCCCAAGGCGGCCGTGTGAGCTCTACACCAGTGCTGCCCACCCTTGAGGACCAAGTCTGTCTTTGGCAGACTGGGTCTCCCCTTGATGCTCCCCCAGACTCTCCCCCACGCCAGCCGGGCTCCCCAGCTCACACGACCATGGTGGCTCTGAGAACTGCAGGCCAGGGACGGCAGATCGTGGAGACAGCAGCACTCTCTGCACGTGGGTTGTGTTCTGTGTAAAGACTGAGCGTCTTCCAAGGAGCAAGGCTGCCGTGCAGCCAAACAGAAGCTGGCACAGCCTCGTCCCAACACCGGGACAGACAGTGCCTCCACTAACCACCACTCCTTGCTGCAGCCCCGGGTGTTCTCAGTCCCAAGCACCCTCAGCTCATCAGAGGCAAGTTCAGTTATTCACTTGGCAAACATCCCGAATGCACTTTGCCCAGGCCTGTGTCAGAGGCCAAGGGTCACCTGGAGCCCTGGAGTGGACTCTGCAGTTCTTCTGCTCCGTCTGCATTTCTTCCTTTGCCGAATATTAAAAAGCGAAGAAATAAAGGAATGCACGCTGATGGAAGGGCAATGGGCTTCTGCACACCCAGAAAGGCTGTGGCCTCTGCATGGACGCCCACCTGTGTAGAAGACGAGCTGGGCGCCTCTCCGGCAATGCAGTGATTGCTGCCCTGTCAGTCAAGTCACGGCTCATTTCCTTACACTGAGCTGGCTGTGCTGTTTTTTTCTCTCTTCAGTTGGCTCCAGGCAGTGCAGCCAAGGCCGGCTGAGGCCATTCTGACGGACTTGGGTTTCCTCATGCTCTGTAAAAGACGTGTCCCCAGATCTGAGCGCGGCGGGATGGCAGAGCCAGTCAGCTCCGGGAATGTCAGCTGGGCGTGAGGATCGGATACAGAGGCTGTGACACCCCAGCGCACAGAAGTTTACATGTCAGAAACGGAAGCAAAGCCCCCAAAACCACTCAGTTGCTACCTTTCTTGAGTCATGCAGACTGACCTTTCTCCATGTCTTTCTCCCTGCACTTTGCAGAGATGCTTTTCTCCCCACCTGGCCAGCTCAGGTTACTCTCGGAGTTCCTGCCATCCTTACAGTGGCTCATCCTCGAGCTACGCCCTTCTTCACAGGATAGTAAATCCTGAGAGCCTCGGTCCACACAGCCTCACAGGGATTGGACTCAGGAACCCTTGGCTGCCCTTAACTCTGCAAATATCTTGCTGTCTTCCCTCATGCTGTGGGTCGCTTTGGAGGTGGTGGATTGGAATTAACTTGCTCGGATTCCAATAACTTTCCAGTGGGATTACAAATATAAAATTTTTGAGTTGTGAGGAAGACCAAAAAAGGATTACAGTACTTGGATTACAATATTCGTGTTTGGGATTACAATACCTGTGTGAAAGGAAGAAACCAGAGTTTGTCCGGCTCCTCCACGACACGGGAGGAATAAAAACTGCCAAGAGTACATTGGCAACTGGTACCAGAAAACGACTCCAAGCAGCCTAAGCCGAAAAGGAACTTAGCATCTCACCTGAAACACCTGCTCACAGTCTGCCAATTCAGCGATTTATGGGGGTCTCGAGCTCTTCTCATCTTTTTGGCCTTCTACAGATAACCTGCCTGCTGTCCTCATGGGCGCAGAGAGGCTGCAGGCATCCTACCTTCTCATGCAAGTGCCAAGGCCAATGAAGAACTGTTCCTCGACCTTCTGAAACCCTCACCCCCCACATACACAGCCTTACATACATACATATACATACACAGCCTTACATACATACACACACATACATAACCTTCCCTCGCGCCTCTTGGTAGGAACCAGGGCACAGGCTTAGCCCTACACTCACCCGTGGCAAATGGCCAAGACCACCCTGGAGTCCCCACAACAGCAACTGTGCTGCAGAAGAGGAAGTGTGACCACTGAGAAACCATGGGGGACCCTGTACTGAGGGGAGGAGTGGACACATCCGAGTGTTCACAGGGGTCCACTGCTGCCGAGTCACCAGGCTTCCTGGAGGAGCCAGTGGCTCAGTTGGTTTAAAGGGCAGGGTGCAGGTCATCTGCCTTGGTGCTGGTGTGAGAGGGTAGGAGGCCTGCAACCTTTCTGTGCCGGTGAGGGCAGCAGACATGAAAGACACTGACCACAGCCAGGTCATACTCTGGACTCAGCAGGGACAGCAGGCTGCTGTGTGTGACAGAAAAAGGAGCTGCCAAGAGGACCAGAGGAGAGGGCAGGGGACGCACACTGACAACTCCTGCTAGAAGCTGAGGTCCAGGTAGGGTTGAGCTGCTTTCTCCTCCTGTGGCTTTCTGAGGGCGTTGAGGGCCTACAGTGTCCGGCAGTATCTGGCAGGGGTGACAGCGCTTGGCCAAGGCAGCTGCTCAGCCTAGTGGAGGAAGCAGCCTGGGTCAGGACTCCCTGGTCCACCGCCTGCTCCTGACACCAGCTGCAGTCCCTGAGTGCCCAGCTAGGAGCCGTCTACACTGACCAGGGCCAGGCGCTGAGATGAGCATTAATTAACTCACCTCTGGGGACCACAGGAGGGGCTGAGGCCACCTCTCTGGCAGCTGCAGGTCTGCCCTCCCGAGATCAGATGCGCCTGCGTGCAGCCCGCCAAGACCATTGACGTCAAACGCACAAGCCCAAGGCCAGGCATGGCATCTTCTGCGGCAGCGGAAACACCCCAGCACCTGCCCCGGGAGAGGAGGATACAGGGTGCTGGGCCCCTAGGTAGATCTAACCTGTTCTCCCAAGGGCAGGGCACAGAGGAGCCTCTGGCCTTTCCCAACAGAGGCAGGTTCGCTCCCTGGAGCTCCAGTTAGGTGGTGTTAGAGTCACCACGGAGCTAGAAGGAGGCTAGCAGAAGAGGCACATGTGACGCCCATCCTGTGCTCCTCACTTCCCCGTCACTGTCCTGGGCTCTCTGCTGTGTGCTGACCCCACTCAGGGCTGCAGAGGCGGCCATGATGGTGGAGGACAGAGGGCTGGCTCCCCTGGAGCCCGGGTGCCTGGGTTTGGTCTCAGAGAGGTTCCATGACCAGCTCAGGTCAGCCCTGCCCAGGGGGCCTCACTGAAGCTGGGGTGCTGTTCATAGAAGCAGGAGCCAAGTCCAGGTGGTTGGGCCCCCTGTGGGTCTAGGGAGCTGTCACAGAGCTGCAGGGCCACCCTTGACCTTTGGCCTTGGGCACCCATTTGCAGGTGCCACCCCTCCCCCACCACTCTGAAGTGGCTGAGCCCCCCCAGACCCCGGGGGTCAAGGTCCAGCGGCCCGGGGCCAGCCCACGATAGGCCAGAGCCAAGGTGCCTGTCCCCTCTGCGCCCCCACCGCCAGGGGGCATGAAATTCTGTTCCCCAGGGAGTTGGCTACCAGGTCCCTGCACCACAGCACCCTGCGCATTGGCCCTGCTGCAGGGAGCTGCAGGTTTCACAGTTACAGCCATGTCATTCGGGATCCACAGACCCAGGCAGGAACTGATTGCATACTGGACCCCCTATTGCCAGTGCGTGTGCACGGCTGAGCGCCCGCAGCAGCCCAGTGCCTGCAGTCAAAGGCTGTTACAGGCACTGCCCAGAAAATCGGAGCCCAAGTGCTCGCACCCTCTGTACCGCTGGGCGCGCGGAGGGCAGAGGGGACGGGTCACCATCTGGGTCGGCATGGTAGTGGCTGCAGGGAGCCACCGGCCGCGGGTGCTGCGCTGCGGGAGGAAAGAACGCGGGCCCCAAAGGGGCTCCCTGGGAATGCGCGGCCGGAACTGGCCCAGGCCAGCCCGTTGCCATGGAGACGCGGCGCTCCGGGGCACGGACCCCTGCCAATTTGTAAGTCAGGCTAATGACGGCGATGGCGACGAGGCCTGCGGGCTGCGATTCTCCACGCTGCCCCTCCGGCCCTGGCTGCGTGGCCACAGGAAGGGTCACGGAGGGCAGGGGGGCGGAGCTCAGGACGGGCCAGGAGCAGCGGGACGCCCAGAGCAGCCCTCAGGGCGGGGAGCAGGCAGAGGGTGCTGAGCCCCGTGTCCCCGTCCTCCGCTAAAGCCCGCAGCCCGCCGAGGACATGGGATCCGAACCCAGAACCAGGCGCGCAACCCGCAGCCAGGCAGTCTGTGGCTTTACCTTATTAGGAAACCTCGGCTGCTCCTTCCTTTCTCTTCTTTTAGGGAAGCGCTGGGCTCTGGGCCTCGCTCCCCGGTGACTCAGCCGGCCCAGAGCTGAGGCTGCAGCCTGCCCCGGGGCACCGTGTCACTTTCAGGGACTCAGAGGAGATGTCAACTCCAGATCTCGGGGGCAGGGCCCTGGGTGCCCTTCCTTCTGTGGGGGGTTGGAGGGAAGGGACAGGATAGGCAAGGTGCCGTCCCACAGGTTGGCAGCAGGATTGCTGAGTCGCCAGCTGGCACCAGGCAGCGGCAGAGGAGGATCCCAACCAACCGGTCTGTCCTGCCTGCAGGCGCCTGAGCGGATCCTTGGCCCAGCAAACTGGACCCTCCCGTCAGAGGCATCACTCAGCTTTCCAAAGCACTGAATTCTTCCCTGGCATGGTGGTGCAGGCCCACCATCCCAGCACTCTGGGAGGCTGAGGCAGGAGGGTCACCTCAGGGTGATAATGAGTTTGAGGCCGGTCTGTACTAAAGACCCTGTCTCACATAAAGGTGAACTAAATCCAACCCTCAAGCTCCAGTAGCGTGCAGAGCGTCTCTCTCAGGAGAAACGCAAAGTAAAACTGAAGAGCAAAATAAAAGGCCTGATAGGAAGCAGGGAGGGAACCAGGAGATGGGGGGGGACTATCGAGGTGCATGCACAACCCCACCCTGCCATGCACTGCCGGAACCCATCTCCTCATAGTTCCATTTTGCAGATGAGCAAACTGAGTGCTGAGGGCAGCACCCCACATAAACCGTCATCGTGCATGTGAGGGTGACAGGGCCCCAAGCTGGAGCTCTCTGCCTCTAGAGAGCATTTCCAGATTCTTCTCTTTCTTTCCAGTTTTTAATTTTTTTTTTCTTGAGGATGTCACTGTGTAGCCCAGGCTGGTCTTGAACCCTTGGCAATCCTCCCGCCTTGGCCTCCTGAGTGCTGGGATGACAGGGTGCCCCTCCGGGGCGGCTCTCTGGGCTGTCTTTTCTTGTCATGGACTGCTCCTTACACCCCTGCTCAGTGACTTGGGAAATAGCCTGGCTTCCCCACCCCAGGAACTGGGCAGAGGGTGGGAGGCATGTATTCTGCAGGAGGAGTCCTGGGTGAGAGAAAAACATGGAGCGTGGGGGAGAGGCAGAAAGCAAATCAGACCAGGTCACTGGGGCAGGAAACAGCTGTCAGCAGGAAAGGGCCCAGCTTCCGGGCAGCTGTGTGCTAACCGGTGATCCACAGCCCGGCCAGCTCCGGCTCTCAGGAACAGGACCAGGCAGTGGGATTCTCTGCAGGGGCTGCAGACACAGGTGGGGTGAGGGTGGCGCAGGCCAGTCACCCCAGCCCTTGAGAAGCTGAGGCAGGAGGATCACTCCCAGTCCAAGGCCAGCCTCAGCTACCTAGCAAGACCCTGTCTCAAAAATGGCATAAACCAAGAGCTACAAATGCATTTCCGACTTGCCCAGGCTCATGTGAAATTAATCTTTCTCAGCGCAGCTCAGTCACACACAGTGTCCGCCCGGAAGCGGTGGGACTGCAGCGCTCTGAGTTCCTGGCCTCGGATGCTGTGCGCTCTTCAGTCCGCAGGTTAGGGATTGTTCTCGGCTCAGTGTGCTTGAAGTCTGGACCCAGAAATGTCACCAGGTGGGACCCCAGTCAAGCTCTGGGTCACTCAGACACCAACTTCTTTTTCCATTCATTTGCAGGGAACAGACAAAGCCCACCCCCAGTTCAGCATTTTCAGAATAACCTGCTCAGGAAAGGTCCAGCTGCTGCCTCCTTTGGAGGTGGAATTCAAGCTTCCTGAGGCCTCTCACACCCCATCTCTGTCTCCATTACCCCTTCCTTAGGCTCCAGGGGGACGGGTTTTTAGATAAAGATAAAACTTGGCACTTCCCTGAGGTAAGGACCAGCTGGGTTTTCAGCATGGTTTTTTGGTTGGTGGTGTTGTTTTAGACCGGGTCTCCTTGTTTCGCTATGGCTGGCCTGGAACTCACTACAGAGCCCAGGCTGGCCTCGAACAGGTGGCGATCCTCCTGCCTCAACCTCCCTCGGTGCTGGGAATAGAAGTGATCAACACTGAGCCCAGCATTCCATTCGGCATAATATTTTGCACCTAATTTGAAAATCAAAACACTAACAGGCAAATTTAAGCTGAACTCCCTATTTTTAGAACAGTACTAAAAATTACAGAATTTATTTTCAGCCATATGGCTGCACAGAAATGGAGGCCGTGGGCACCTGGCCAAGCCGGTGGCCACAGAAGTGGCCACCTCCCACCTCCCAGTGCCACAGAGCCACCAGCACCTCTGGGGAATCCAGGACTAGGCAGAAGAGCAGTTGCAGGCTTAGCATTTCTTGGCTTTTTGCTAATTTCCTTGTAGTTCTGATGAATGTGGGAGCTCTCTGAGCTTGCTGGGGGAGAGGGAGTAGGGCTTTTTTTTTTCTTTTTTTAAATTAGGAATTGAGAAGAAAAGTCCCCTTATGCATTCTTCCAGGAATCAACTTAATTATGCCTCTGTCAGCAGGAAGTTTATAGGGGAGTCAATTAAAAAAAGGAGCCAGCCTGGCCTTTAATTATCTCAGCTGGTATTCAGCCTTCAAAAGTCTGCGACCTGCTGAGTGTGTTAATTTAACCACTTCATAGTGTCTGAATCCGCCCTTCCACACCGGCCACCTCCCCTGGGGAAGGAACGGGCTGCAGAGATCTCTAACCCTCCCCTCTGCTGCTTAATACTGTGAGCTTCCATTATGATGATTATCGTCATTATCATGATCGTTATTATTATCTTGCTTTTTGAGATAAGAGTCTCACTTGTGTAGTCCAGGCTCGCCCTAAACTTGGGATGATCTTCCTGCCTCAGCCTCCTGAGTGCTGGGACTTCAGGTGTGCACCACAACACCTGGCCCTCATCCTGTTACCTGTGTGTCAGTGTCCGCGTAGGAGGGCCCTTTCGCCTTATGCACTTGGTAAAGACTCGCGTGTGACATGCAGTGTTAGTAGCTGCTGGCAATGAGAACTTCGCTCCTGGGTTGGGTGCAGTTTTCCCGCTCCTCCTGGGGGCCAGTTGTGGTGAGGTGCTCCTGGAACCCCAGCACCCTGGGAGGCTGAGGCAGGACAATTGGAATGTTAAGCTCAACCTGGATAACTGAGTGACTTGCTTTAGCAGTCTCAATTTTTGCAAAAGGCGGATCCATGTCAGCGGCGTCCCGGGAGCCTGAGGTCTCAGAATCCACCACTGACTTAGGGTTCAGGGTTAGTCCTGGCCTGCGGCATGGCCTCCCTGGCCGCCGTGGCCATGTCTGTTTCACACCTGCAGCGGTGTCGGCCCCAAATCTGACTCCTCGCCTGCTATATGGAAGCATCTGCGTCCTGCATGGAGCGCAGTTTGTGTTATTACCCGTTCACGGTGTGCTGTGCGCTCTGGTGCTATTCCGCCCTCCTTCCCACCTCTCCCCACTCAGGCCAGGGACTCAGGGCTCCTCCAGGGACGCTGTTCCAGGGGCAGCCAGTGTCACTGCCCTGGCAGCCACCCTGCCACTGACCCTGGTCACTCATAACCGGCCGGCACCTGCATTTCGCTGGATGCCACTGCTCTTCTGTCTATTGTAAATTCAGTTTTCAGGGCCAGAGATTTTAGCTCAGTGGCACAAGCACTTGCCTGGCAAAGTGTGAGATCTACAGAAACAAAAATAAATAAATTTGGTTTTTAATTTAGTCATGTCTCCAACAGTATCATACCTATAGTCACTGCTTTGGTAGGAAATTACTATTTTTTCTAACAACCAATAAAATAAAATAAATCTACTAAAATGAGGACTGGGTCACCATGTGTCACTGACGGTCTCTGTGGGTATCCGAGAGTAGAAAAATACTCTTTGACCCGGCGACCAGTCCAGCACTGTAACTCACCAGTGATCTCTCCCTGAAATGTAACGCATGGGTCTCGAGTATAATGCAAAATGCACTTTTTGGCCTTGGTGTGCGAGGAGTCACCCTGCACTGGGGTTCTGTAGCTTCTCGTCCGCCCTCTGGACCCCTCCTGGCTCCTCCTGGAGCTAAGCTTTCTGTTCCAGAGAATGTGGGTGCCCCCAGCAGCTCCTTGTGCTGTTCCGGAACTTTGTTCCCAGCTGTGTCTTGGGAACAGTTAGAGCCCAGGAGGAATCCTGTGAGAATGCCGTACAATATTTCTTTCTTGGAAGATTCCCAACACGTGTTTATTAACTGAGTATAAAAATCGTGGCATTCTAGATTCCATCAGAGAAGCAGAGGCAGAAATGGTCTCATGTTTCGTGAGAGTGAAACATTTCTTGGTCTTCATTGATCTGCACATGTTATAATGAATGTGGCTTTTTGCATTTTGTTTTGGTTTCTGCTTTTTTTTTCTAGTAGCACCAAGGATTGAACCTGGGACTTTTGCACTGAGCTATATCCACAGTCCTTCATAAAAAAATTTTTTCAGGCAGAGCCTCCGTAAGTTGTGTCACCCAGGGTGAACTGGAATTTGCGATCTTCCTGCCTCAGCCTCCTAGGGTGCCTGGGTTATACAGACATGCGCCCCCAGCCAGCTGTGGTTTTGTGGATTTTCTGCACGCTGTTGAAGCTGTTTCCAAAAAAGCGGGAGACTCGCTCACCCTTACCCCTCCCCAATCGGGGGGAGCAGAGGGCGTTTGATCCCTGACCTCCTGCCTGGGCCCCGTGCCTGCTGGAAACCGATTTATGCAGGGTCACCGCTTTGGAGGCTGCCCTGGAAAGACCATGTCCAGCAAGAAGCCAGAACTCCGCGTTTTTATATGAAAACTACCGGTTTCTAAATGTTGGCTCTGCTGTCTTTTTTTTTAGTTTTTATGATTCTTGGTGGGCCAAGTGTAACAAGTCCATCGGCCAGCACCGGCCGCCACTGCCGGTCTCTGGCTTTGGCCTTGGACTTCATTTCCCGGTCCGATTTTAGAGTCTGCCCCAACTTGGTAAGAATTTTTAAATAACTAATCCTGCCATCCATGGCCTGTGCAGGTGCTGTGCGCTGGAGTCCAAAGGGACCTGTGAGGCGAGGTCATCTCTGCTCGGGGTGGCACTGGACCCCAGCCTCCCCTCTAGCAAGTGCAGCAGGCAGGGGCCACTCACCAGGCTCTTTGGAAGATGGGCTGAGGTTGTGGCCCAGCAGTAGGGGACATGCTGCCTGCACACAGGAATGACCATGCACACGAGGCGGGCCACAGCGTCCAGGTCTGCGACCTACAGGGGTCACTGGGGACTGGTTGTCCACTTTTATCCGCTGTCAGCAGTGGGCAAGTGAGACAGGGAGCAAGACAGACAGAAAGACAGACGCAGAGACAGAGAAAAAGAAAATCACCTTAAATTAAGATGCTCTGCAGTTCCGTTCTTAGTGCTGATCTTTAACTTCAGAAACATTTCATTTCTCCTTTCCCCAATCTGTAATATATACAAATGAACCGACTAGGTAATTGGTTTTCAAATTAGATAATTTTTTCTAAATTAATACATAACCTTCTCTTTTTTTGTCTTTTTTTGAGACAGGGTCTTGCTATGCAGTTCAGGCTGGCCTTGAGCTCACTTTGTAGCCCAGGCTGGTCTCAAACTAGCAATGATCCTCCCACCTCAGCCTCCCGAGTGCTGAGATTACAGGCGTGAGCCACCACGCCCGGCTACTTAACCTTCATAGCCACGTTGAAGTAGAAACAGTCAGGAGAATTAGACAGGGGAATAGATTTATTTTTGGTTTCGTAATTGTTTGAGAGAGGGTCTTCCTGTGTACCCCAGGCTGGCCTGGAACTATGGGGATCCTCCTGACTTGGCCTCCTGAGTGCTGGGATTACAGGTGTGTAATCACAGGTTTGGGAGTAGTTTTGTCTTGTTCTGTGCTTTTGTGTTTTATGTTAAGAACCGGCTGCAGGAACTTCCGAGTGCAGGTGGTTCCCACTAGGCTCATCTTTATTCCTGGCTCACCTGCTAGGCTGTTGTCTGATCTGTTGGATTGTGCCAACCTACACCCTGTCAGCTGGAGGCCTCTCCTGCAGTCCTGGCGGCTGGCAGGCTTAGGTGAGGGCTGAGGCGGGTTCTGGGTCTAGCGAGCCCACACTTCCACTCCGATGATGCCATCTTGCTATGTTCCCCATGGTAGATGGGCCAGTGTATATAGCAATGTAGTCTTTGGAAAGTATTTCTGTGATTACTTATGGAACTGGGGTTTGACCGTAGGACCTCACGATGAGCCACAACCTCCTCCCTTACTGATTTTTTTTTTCCTCAGAGAAAAGGATTATCTAGGGTGAATTTGAATTTGTGACCCTCCTGCCTCAGCCTCCTAGAGTGCTGGATTACAGGTGTGCACCACCACACCTGGTTGGAAACTTCCACCTTCAGTGGCGTGTGATGATTCCCCAACTGGCATGCTATCACTTACTTGTGTCTTTGTTTTAAGAATTGTTTTCCTCATTTTTAATTTTTTAGTAAATAATTTTGCAGTGATTCCCCCAGGCACCTGCTTTGGTTTATTTCCTTCAGGTAAAGTGCTTCCCTGTTAGACCATTGGGTCAAGGGGGTGATGTTTTATGTTTCATTCATCTAAGGTGGGGCTAGGATCTGACCCAGGGCCTTGTACCTGCAAGGAAGGGCTCCTCCGGGAAGTGCAGCCTTGAACCCCACTTCCTGAAGGCCAGGCGAGGTTTCCCAGCACTGATAACATCCCGTCTGGCCCACAGGACACCCCTGTCTCCTGCCAGTGCTGGTACCTCCCTCGGGGGTGCTTGGTAAAGGTGGGGATGGCGGATTAGAGTCGCTCTGCTTCCAGAGAAGTCTCGAGGAGCCTCTGGGCAAACGCTGGCTGGGAGGCGAAGCAACGGGGAAGGAGCCCAGAGGCCGGCCGGCTCCGTGGGAAGGAGGCTGCGGTGCGGCGAGGGGAGCTGTTGCCCACTGAAACTGCAGCCATGGGAGAAAATGAGGGGGTCGGGGCTCTGAGAAGACGCAGGGGAGACTCCAGCTCTGGAGGGGGGGAGCCCTCCATCGGTCACCTGTGCAGCCCCTGCAGGGCACGTGGGTGCATGTGTATGTATGAATGTGCATGTGTGCATACATGTTGTGTGTGCGTGTGTGCAAGTGCATGCGCGTGCATGTGCGTGGAGTACATCTGTGGCTATCATTGTGCCGTGCGTGGTATTCAGTGCAAAACGAAGTCACTACCTAAAGCCCGGCCCGGTCCTTCCACACAGCGTAGAAGCCCAGCGTGTCGCCTCGGCAGCCAGGGACCCGGATGACAAGGCACCAGGCAGGAGGGGGAGGGGCAGGGAGAGCAAGGTGTCCCGTGGGCCGCATCGGGCCCTGCTCCCGGCCAGGGCTGTGACCCACACCCAGCGCAACAGCAGGCCCTTCTACCCTCCTGATCCCTGTGGATCCCTGCGGTCAGCGGGCTCCAGGGAGCCGCCATAGTGGGCAGAAGCGCTCCTGCGCGTTAGGGTTACCTTGGGCTTGAAGGGCAAAGACGCTGGGCTGGCCTCATCCGAGCCGGTGCCTCACAGGTATAGAAGAATTGGGGCCATCAATAAACTGCCGGTGTCACGGGTGCAGGGACCACATAGCCCAGAGAGGCCTGGTCCCTTCCCTCTGGGCCCCCGCTCTTCCCAGGACCCCATTGGGTTCCCTCCCTCTGAACCAACTTTCTTCCACCCACGCACTGCAGCGCCCCCCTGGGTCACGCAAAAGAGTCGGTTGCCCAAGAAAGCTCGGTGGAGTAAGAGTGTCAATCCACAGGGGATTTAGGACCCACCGTGGTGCTCACAGTGAAAACCGAAAGAGTCCTAGCAGCAGACATTTTGAGGATGCTTCAAAGCCTATCAGAATTTCAGGAAGGGACACACTAGTCCTGGGTTCGAATCTTGGCTCTAGGACCTGGACAGATGTCAGCAGTGTTCACCACCCCATGCCTCAGCCTCAGTTTATCCATCTGGAGGTAGAGAGCAGGATATCCCCTTTATAGCATTGCTGTCACATGCTTCGCCTGCAGCCATGAGCTGCTCATGTCCTGCCTGGGGAAACTGAGGCAGCACGGACCCCAGGGGTGTTCTTCTGGGCTCAGCCTGGACTGCAGCCCCCCGGATCTTGAGTGTCCTCCGAGCTCCCTCATTTCCAGGTTCTTGGCTTGGGGTCCCTGGTGTCCCCCAGGGGAGAGGATGGCATCACTGGCACAGGCAGAGCCTGGTGGGGATGCAGTGCCCAGGGTTGGACTCCAACCCGAGCCTGCAGACAGCTGCATTACCCTGGAGTCCCTGCCACCCACAGGGCAGGCACCGCTGGCCCCTGGCTAACACAGGGCTCATTTGCATAGCATAACAGGAAGCAACCCCAATGCAGAGCAGCCTGGCAGGGCACAGGTGGCAGCAGGTGCCAGGTCCCCGAGCCTCGGCCATGCCCTCAGCCTCCGTGCTGGGCTTGGGCCAGCGCCTCTGAGCTGCCTTGGCCCTGCCTGCCACTCGGGAGTCTTGGCTGTGTTTGTCACCTCCCTGGTGCTGGCAGGCAGGACAGGAAGAGGGGGTGGCTGGCAGGGACCTGTGTTGCCTGCCAGGGAGGAGACGCCTCCTCTCCCGGCAGATGTGTGAGTCACCTCAGGAGCCGGGAACAGGCTCCATCTGCCTTCCAGACGGGCTCTGCTGCGCTGCCCAAGCTGGTCTCAAACTCCTGGCTCCTGTTGTAGGTGGCTCAGTTACATTGAGCTTGATACACAGCTGAAAGGGGACCAGGCCCAAGACAGGGGAGCCTAAGCCCCAGTGCTCACAGCTCCCTCTGACTGTATTATTCAAAGTGAGGTCCAAAAAAGCACTGCACCCGAGAAACTGCTGGGACGATTCCGTGTCCCAGAAACTCAGGGAGGCCCTGCCAGCCCCACAGGGGGAGAAAGCTGCTCCTTCCTGCGCACCTGCAGGCCATACCCGCTCCAGGGAGGCCTCCAGGGGCCTCCAGGTACCTCCTGGGGATGCGTGGGCTGTGGATTCAGAGCTCCTGGACTCCAGCCGTGCTCACCACTCCCTCGGGAAATGACACTACTTCCTGTGCCAAGGGGACAATCGTCCAGGGAGCACAGGATGGCTTGAGCCAGCGAGGCCGTGCATCTGAATGACCCACAGTGCCACTCTGTGCACAGGAAACTGCTCCTTAATCTAAAGACTTGGAGGAAGGGCGGGGCCGTGGCTGCAGGCGGCTCTGCCAGGGCCAAGCAGCTGCTTCCTGCCGCTAAGAGCAGTGCCCGAGCCACATCCCCCACGGTGCTCACCACGCCGCCCTCCCCGCCTGCCAGCCCCAGATAGCAGCAGCTCAGGTCCAGACCGGGGCCTGCCTTTCTGAGGGGAGCGTGCTATCCGGTTTGGCCACATGTGGGGGTGGCCCAGAGAAGTCTGCAGAGACAGCAGGCAGGAGGGACAGGAGCCTGAATTCCTAGAGACTCCTGGACCTGCACTTGCAAGAGGGCAAACTGCACCTGGCCCAGTCACCTGTCACGGGGCTGTCGCCTGGGCTGCTGCTGCCGAGTCCAGCTCCAGGACAGAGGTCAGACGCTGGGGTTTTCTCAGCCCTCCTGCACATGCTAAGCTACGAATGCATCTGGTTTCAAAACATATCTGAGGCATTACCTTGCCATTGTGCTCTGCCCATCAGTTTTACATGCCTCAAACTGAGAAACTAAAATCAGAATCACCTGTCCTTGGCCTAGACAAGCCTGGTTGTACATGATAGATATATTACTGATGAAAGCTGCAATTTTTAGCTGGGCATGGAGACACAGACCTGTAATCCCCAGCACTCAGGAGGCTGAGGCAGGAGGATCACTGAGAGTTCGAGACCAGCCTGGGCTCCAGAGTGAGACCCCTATCTGAAAAGTAAAAATTTTATTAAAGCTGCAATTTGCAGAACTCAGTGAGATATGATCCCTTTCACTTAAAAACCCCTATCTGTGCAGAGGAAACCAGTTTCTAAGGGACAGGAGAAAGCACATGGTGGTGAGAGTGAGATCAGAGAGCTTTTATTCACATTCAGATGCAATCTGAACTTTGCAGCCTACTTCGTTCCTTATTTGAAAACAAAGAAAGTGCACAGGCTGGCCCTGGGGTAGTCCTGGGCACAGGGTCTGCATTGGCTCCCTGGCTGGGCTACGCTACCGCTGCCCCCTCCTGCACCCTGTCCTGTCCACTCCAAAGCTGCTGTCCATCCGGTGGGTCACAGGTCTCGTCCCTGTGTCAGGTCACCTCTCTGCTTCCGCACTGTTCACACTCCTGGACTCAAAGGGAATCCCAGCTGAGACCCGTCACATCCAGGCACCAGCTCCCCGGGATGAATGCAGCCACCAGTGTGCTGCAAACGCAGACTCATAAATGTGAAAACTGAGAACAAAAACAGTGCCGCGGACGCCATGCTCTCGTTTGTTAAGTGAATGCTCGCCGTCCCCCCCAGTAAGCGAGCACTGAGCCATCTTATTTTAGTTTTGTTCTGCTTCATTTTTGTGACAGCATCTCTGTGGTGGTTCAGGCTAGTTTTGAACTCACTGTGTTGCCCACACTGGGCTTGGACTCATGGTGATCCTCCTGCCTCGGCCTCCTGAGTGCTAGGATTGCAGGCAGTGCTTGACTATCTTTGTTTCCCATTAGCTCAGATTGGGTGGAACGTACAAGACAAGCATCAGGCCAGGAACCTCGCCATCAACCAAATGGCCAGGCAGTGCTGTCAAAGGAGGATTTACAGGCTAGAGATGACATTAACACACCAAGTGTGTGCCCAAGGATGAAGATGATGGACTGGGGCGTGACCCAGAAGGGCTGAAAACCCACAGAAGTTCTCCCACAGACAGGATCCCCACACGACGTTGTGAAATTCTTGAAACAGTGAACCAGAGGCCGCCAGGGCTCCAGCTTCTTTAAGCAGAGCTCTGTGGGTCCCAGCGGTCTTCAGAGTTCTGTAATCCGTTTAAAGAAAAGCACCCATGGTGTTGAATTAGCACGTGGTACTTCCGAGGAATTCACATCACTGTTTTAGATGAACCGGATGGCACTGAAGTATCTAGAACACACTGGATGACAGAGTACGGATCGCTTCTCACCCCCATAATTTAAACTGTGCTTGTTTGCTGATAAGGTGGGAGCTTTCAGGACTTCCTGTCCCCTTCCTTGAATTCCCTCAGTCTTTTAAAAAATTGGTTAATGGGCCAGTTTGCTTTTAGAGGGAGGACTCTAGTCAGTGTAAATAGAAAATGAGTTAGAAGCTCAGCATTAATCCCAGCACTCAGGAGGCTGAGGCAAGAGGATCGTTGGGAGCTGAATTGCATAGAGACCCTGTCTCCAAAAATCAGAAAGAAAGACATCACCTTCACTGCAAGTGTGGTTCTTTTTGTTTGTTTGTTCTTGCTTTTGTTTTTGGTGGGTGCTGGGAATCGAACTCAGGACCTCACACTTGCCAGGCAGGTGCTATATCCTGGCCCCAGGCTGGTTCTAGCTTAAACCCTGAAAGAATCAGAGTCACGGGGCTGCCGGGTTTCTGACATGGGCCTGGCTGGGGGCTCAGCACCTGTGGCTCTCAGAGGCCCTGCTGCCCTTGTGTCGTGCTTGGAATGTGGTCTTGGCACAAAGCACGAACTTCTGCGAGCTCTGCACAAGGAAGGAGGTGAAATCTAGGGATCACCACCGTACGTGCTGCACCCCACACACACGTTTCCCAGGCCAGAACCCTGCACACTCGCGTGCCGCACGCATGGGGTCCCCGTGGGCACCCGTCCCCATGATCACACTGGGTTTCCAGGGCAGCCGTTTTATCGCAGGCCCCCTGTGCTGTCTGCCGTGTTTATTGTAGGCTTCCATTTCTCTGTCCAGCCGCATGGCACCTGCCTGGCAAAGTGCGAGGTCATGAGTTCAATTCCCTGTACCAAAAAAAAGAGAGGCGGCTAGCTCAAGACCCAAAGCTCATCTCCGTTTCAGACAGGTTGTGACGTGGTGGTGACATACCTCCCCACGAGGCTCCTAAGCCAGTGCCAGCCTGGGCACAGGGAGGGAGAGGCAGTGGACGTGCAGCCCCTTTGTGTCTGCCCCTGGGTGTGGTCCATGTCTGAGCCAGCTCCAAGCAGCCCTGTGTTGCACTGTGCCTGGAGAGGACAGTGCCTTTGCAAGCCCAACTCTGTGCTGACTGTAAACGCCAGACCCAGCCCAGCCAGGCCATGCTGGACTTCTCTCCCTCCCTCCCTCCTGGGCCTGCTGGCCTCAGCTGGAATCATGCTGGGTACAGAGTGTGCCAGCTCAGGGCAGCATAGCCTGGGACCCTGGTGCCACACACGTGGCCGTCGAGTGCTCAGACAGTTGTTCCCAGGGTCAGTTCGGCCCAGGGCTCTAACCCAGAGCACAGGAGCAGCAGGAATCCCGTCCAGTGGCCCAGAGCTCTCCCCGGAACCAACCGAGCAGGTGGGCTTGGTTGGACCAGTGGCCAGTGTCCTGGAGGAGACCTGGGGAAGGAACCGCAAGGGACACTCTGGTTCTGAGGTAGTGACCCCTGGGCACCTGGCCCCTGGCAGGCTCCTGATGGCTGCCCTGTCGGCTGCAAACCACCCGTCCTCATCTGACCTCAGCACCCACAGAGCCTCATTCTCAGCATTCATCAAGCTGAGAGAGAAAAAGCCGTGGGTTGCTTCCCCTCTAGGTGAGGTTATGGCTTTGAAGTCAGAAAAATGTGGACTAAAACTCCATTTTGAACCAGGCAAGGTGGCATACACCTATAATCCCAACACTTGGGAGGCTGAGGCAAGAAGATTACTGCAAGTTCAAGACCAGCCTGGGCTAAATGGCAAGTACAAGGCCAGCCTGGACTGCATAGCAAAACTTGTCTAAGGAAAAAAAAGAAAAGAAACTATTCCTACCACTTAATACCCAGCAGATCTTGGGCAAAATACATGATCTTTCTCATGTGGTCTCACCCCATCCAACCTCGTAGGGCTGCAGGGCGTAATAAAGGGCTAATGGAATACCGGTGTCGCCATGGCCCGTGGTGATAAATGAGGAAGATGATTCCTGTTATACTGAGCTAACAGGAGAGGGGAACAGTATTTATTTGCAGTTAGTTGCGTAACAACAGGCGTTCAGAAGCCAACAGCCTCTAAGAAGAAAGGTGCTCCATTCTCTTGGAGAAGTCCACAGTTGCTGTTCTTGTCAGGAGCCAAACAAACGAAAAACACAGACGCTCTCAACAAACCCTGCACATAGGGTTAGGGAGCCCGCCTGTGCACCTCCGAGCCCTGAAACCTTCTGGGTCATCAGCAGGGAGCAGGAGTCCATAAAAGGTCAGCTCAGTCACTGTGCACAAAGGTCAGCTGGCTCAGCTGTCCCACCCTAGGCGTGGCCTCCTTGGGCCTCAGTTTCTCCCTGTAGGAGGGGGGTGCAGGTTGAGCCTGCCTCGTGGGATCTCCTGGGCTACCAGGATAATATGTCTGGCCGGGAGCCTCCTCTCTGGCATTTAACCTCTGGGAGCTGCTTTTGTGATTAGGATCTTTATGACCGGGGAGCACAGAGCCCAGCCCATTGGACTTTCCTCCGGGAATCCTGGGAAAATCCGGGACCCCAGGAGCCGGCTTTTATGAGGAACAAGTAGAAAAGCAGAACTGGCTGTGAGCAGTTGGAGTCCCATATGCCTGTGACACTGGGCCGTCGGCCGTAGCCACTGCAAACTGAGACACCCTGCAAGCACAGGGCACCAGGCTCCAAAGTTCAGTGCCCAAAACGAAACCTCTGTCAGTAACTGAGATGGGTTTTATGCCAGCATGGTTCTGTGGTGCTAAATCAGTGGTATTAGAATGAATTTCACCTTTTCTCCTCTACTCTGTGCATGGCCACCAGCATTCACAAGTCACGGGCGGGGTCAGCCTCGGTATCGGGCAGCCCTGGGTCTAGAATTAGAAGAAGTTTGAGACAATCAGACATTGTGGTCACCAGGACAGGGCGGTGTCGCTCAAGAGAAAGGTCATCAGGAAGATGAGGGAGAAACGGGGGTGTTTCCCAGGTGTCTTGGTTGTTTTCCTCTTTGCTGGGACCAAACACCTGGCACTTGCGACTTAAAGGAGAGGTTTGTTCTGGCTCAGTGTACAGAGGCTTCAGTGCATGGTCGCCGGCTGCAGCCAGGGTGGCATGGCAGAGGGGCTGGCTGAGAGCTGCTCGCTGCATGACGCAACAAGCAGCAGGAGGAAAGACGAAGAGTCCAGAAAGAGATGCCACGGCCCCTGGTGATGCCACTTCCTGCCAGGCCTCACCCCCTGACAGCAAGCCTGCTAGGGCTTCAGCAGTTTGGGCCATGCGTCGTGGCCAATGTGCCCTCCTGACCCCACTGGGCTCCTGCTGTGTGCATTCTCAGGTCATCATGGCCACAAGCTTTCGAGGCAGGCCTCTGGTTTCCTGCCCCATTTTAGAGATGAGGGTACTGAAGCTTGGCTGCCCCCTAGCCTGGGTCCCGGGTCTGAGAAGGGTTGCGCGTTGTCATGCAGGGCTGGCATCAGGCAGAGCATGCGTGGGCTCCCTGCCTACCCTGGCTATTCTCAGCAAACCCCAGATTCCACCCATAGCAGAGGAGTGTGGCAAATACTGAGTGCCCTGCAGAGTCGGAGGCCGCCCATGCACGGGGGGTCAAGGGCAGAGAAAGGAGTTAGGGCCCCTAGGGTCACAGATCCAGCGGCAGAGACCTGGTCTCCACGGGCAGAGCCAGCCAGAAGCACCTGGCGCCTCGTGGGTCAGGTTTGGCATCAGCACCCAGTTCCTAGGGTTCGCGGCCAGGGCTGGAGGGTGCCAGGATCAGCCTGGTGCAGGGCAGCAGCCACCTGGATTCAAAGGCAGTTGTTTCCGTGGCACTGCTCGCCCCACAGGGCCCTCGGAGTTTCGCGCATCCCGTGTCTCAACCACGGGGAGCCCCGTCTGGGTTGGCAGTGGCCCCTGCCGGGCCAGCCGCGTGCAACCTGCTCGAGGCCAGGCATGGAGCTCAGCTGCTCTGGGCCCCTTCTATGGTGCAGGTGCAGGAGGGGCACAGCCCCAGAAACGCTGGGGAAATTAAACCCTACCACGGTACAGAAAGTGTGTGCACGCGTTGTCTGCACCACTGCCACTCTGGGTGAGGCCTCCACAGTGCCCCTCGTTCCCAGAGGGCTCAGAGGTTTCGCACTCAGGTTTCCTGTTCTGTTGGTCCCAAGCACTTGTCCTCAACTCCTAGCAGCAGCCCAGCCCTGAGCGGGGTCCTTCACCTGTGGACTCCTCAGGATCCAGGTTCAGTCCCCTGGCCTGGGCAGTACCTGCAGCATTTGGGTTGCTCAGCAGTGGGGGCCTGGTGAGACTTGGGTCGGAGCCGAGGTAGCCCTTTTGCAGACTTCGTGGTCCGGTACAGCTCACAGAAGCGCGCTACAGTTTGGTGAGAGTGCTAGCCGCTGGCCTCACTGCTAGCAGGCTGAACCGAGAAAGGAGCAGGCTCCCGTTGTGCCCCGGAACTGTCCCCCAGGCCTGGAGGGGAGCACGGGGTCCAAAGGCCACCCAGGTCCATATCAGCTAGAAACTGACCCTGTGCCCACCCCACCAGCTGGTTGAGGCTGTGCTTTGCTTTGCTGGTGGTGCTCCAGCTGGAGCCTTTGCACTCAGCTACCCACTGAGGTGCCCCAGGCTAACCTCGAATTTGCAGTCTTCCTGCCTCAGCCTCCCAGCTGCTGGAATTACAGGTGTGCACCACCAGACCCAGCTAATCACTTCTTTAAAGACCCTGTATCCAAATCCAGTCAGCTCCAAGGTGGTGAGGATTAGAACCTTGGCATATGAGATGGGGGCAAGGTTATGGACTTCAACCCGGGATACCGTCCAATGGTTTTTAACTCCACCCTGCCGCTGAGGAAAACATACCAGGAAGAGCTAAGAACTGCTGCCAGCTCCACCCCTTCAAGAGCTGTAGAGTGCTTCATGCATGGTGTAGAGGACGGTACAGGTATCAAGCACCCAGAAAAAAAGTATTCTTTTTGTTTAGGACATTCTTTTGCATTGTGCTTGTTCGGTTGGTTGGTGGTTTTGTTGTTGTTGTTGTTGTTGTTGTTGTTGTTGTTGTTTAGTTTGTTTGTTTGATTGTTTTGCAACAGGGTCTCGTGTAGCTCAGGCACCTTTGAACTCACTACATAGCCTCAAATTCACAGTTGCCTCAGCTTCCCAAATACTGGAATTACAGGGATGTGCCACCACGCCTGGCCTCACATGTGCGTGTGCGTGTGTGTGTGTGTGTGTGATGCCAGGGATCAAACCCAGAGCCTGAGCCTACTAAGCAAGTTCTCTCCCGCCAACCCCCCAGTGCATTTATTCCCGAGGCAGGAAGGTCAGACCTGAAGCCTATGGTTTACAAGACCTGCCCAGGGCCTTGTGGCTGGGAAGTGGCAGGAATGGGACTGAGGCCAGATGCCCTGGCTTGGCCTTGAATGTGTCCCTGAAGTTTGGTATCCAGGGCATGGAGCCAAGGCAGTATCCCCAGGTCACATGGGCAGCTGCCAGGCCAGGCACTAGCTGGAATTAAAGAGGCCCTGCTGCTCAGGCCCAGCTCTGCAGGATTTGGGGATATTTTCCGGAAGCCTCCCTACTAAAGCTGCTGGTCGGCTCAAAGCGCTGTCTCTCTCTCTCTCTCTCTCTCTCTCTCTCTCTCTCTCTCTCTCACTGCAGAGTTAGCTGCATGTGGCTGGCCCCGTGCCTTGCAGTCCAGGTTTACCCTGCAGGCCCTGGTGTGGCCGCCCAGCCTTGAAACCTTTCTCTCCTTTCCCAGAGGGCACAGGAGCCCAGGTTGGTGTGGAGCTGGGTTCGCATACCCAGGAGCATCGCACTGCATCCTGCTGTACCCAGCAAGCCAGGGAGCCCGGCCACCCTGTCCTGCTGCTCCACAAATGGCCCAGGGCTAGAATCAGACCCTGGAAGCCCAAAGCAGGATCAGAGCAGAAATGGAGGCCTGGGGCTTGCTCTAATTTTTTTCCAGCCTCTTTTATTACAGCCGCAGGGTGTTTGCTCAGGAGCCTTGGCAGCTGGCCAGTGATGAGGCACTGGCTGGATCCTGGGTCTCCCTGATACCTTCCTTCCAGAGTGTTCAGGCCTGCACCCCCCACCTCCACTCTGAAGCCCGGAGACAAGGCTGGAATGCAGGTTTCCCTTGTGGGACATGCGGTGCCTAGCAGATGCCACGAAGCTGAGCTTCCAGATGAATGCTAGCTTCAAACCAGCGCCTAGGTTTGCCCAGCTCCACTGCTGTGCAAAGCTGTCCCCCGATGTAACTCGGTACCCACAAAAGGCTTGGATGGCAGCCGCACAGCAGCTCCTGGTCTTGGGGCTCAGAGCCACCACAGGCTGACCTTGCCCTGTGGGGACCAGATGGGCAGGTAGAACCCTCTCACCTGGAAGAGGAGGCAACCAGCAAGCCTGGTGCAGTTGGGCCTGCCAAAGTCAGCCCCGCCCAGGACCTCTGCCTGCCCCTGCTGCACTGGTGGAGTTGGTCAGAGTCGCCCCTTTCCCTGGAGCTGGTGGGAAGGGCGGCTTCCAGAGAGGAAAGACTTCTCAGCCAGTTCCAGGAGCACGAGCTGGGTCACTTCGAGGCCAGCTCTTCCAACCTCGGTTGCTTCCTCTATAAAACCAGGACAGGGCAGTCACAGCCCATTTGAGGTTACAGAGAGCCTTCCCAGAGTCACACGGAAGCAGCCTGTGCCCACTCAGGTTCCACACAAGTGCCAGGAAGCTGCACTTCTGCAAGCTCTGGACAGCCCAGGATGGAGACCCAGATCACACCCTCCAGAGGCTCGGAGAGCTGTGGGGCTTTCTTGCTGGGCTGCAGCCAGCTGCTACATGGTACGGCACAGCTGCACGTGGTGGGGGGGGCACCTCCAACTCTCCACACTGCAGCAGGACCCCTGCCTGGACTCGGGGTAGCCAGTAAAGAACGGCTCAGAGCACCTTGAAGAGGCTCAACTGGAAATGACAACTCTGATCCGATTTCTGCATAGGAACAAAGTTTAAATCAGAGATTCTCCTCTTTTCCCCTGGCCCCTCCTGTTAGCTTCCCCAAGCTATGGTTGGACACTCAGTAGACAGCAGTTTGCGTTTAGGAGGTGAGTAAAGCAGCAAAATCTCCGTGTCCAAGACCTGACCTCGTTTTCTAGACTTGGCGACCCGGTCCTGCTGAGGGAAGGGGGTGTCAGGGAATGAGGCAGACTGGAGTGGGAACCCAGGAGGAAGGAGTCCTCTTGCATGTTTGACTTCTCGGTAGGATCTGTGACCGCTTCCTGTTTATTCCCAGCAACACACTGTACCCAGGACCAGGCCCACTCAGTGAAAAGTAGGGTGAACCGTCTGGACTTGAGGAGCAAACTCGAGGCCCCAGATATTCAAGCATCACTTGAGAATCCCAGGCCAGCCAGGCAGCATCCCAGATCACCCCATGTTTAGGAGGTGTTGTGTGGATTTTAGGGGCCTTTCCAGAGTGAACAGGGAGTGGTGCTGAGTGACCAGAACAAGGTCCCCCTCACCGTCCCATAACTCAGCCATCAGAACTGGAAGCTGCAGTGCGGTGGGCTTGCAGGTCTCGCTGTTGTAGTTTGTTTGCACCCACTGAGCTGCGCATGTGCAGTCTCAGCTCCTGCTTGCTTGTAGCCAGGTCAGGAAGGAGGAACGCCCGCCTCGTGTGCAAGAAGTCGGTGTTCCCACACTGGGCAAGGAGCTCCCTGGGCCCGCTATAAACTCGGGGGCTGCAAGCTGACAGCCTCACAGCTGACAGCAGAGCACTGTGTCCCCATTGGTCGTGCAGTTGCAGGACACCTGCCCGGATCTCAGAATCATTGCACCCGAGGTGTCAGGAAGCAGAGGACCTTTATGGTTCATCGTATAGGCCTCAGGGAGACGTGGGTGGCAAAACCCAGACCTCCCAGGGAGAAAGCGGCCCGAGTCTGGACAGGGTCTGAGAACCTGCGCTTTGGTCACTGTCGGTCTGGCCAGGCGCCGGGTCCATCCTGTCCCCAGCCCGCCGTGCATGAGCCCCTTATACCGTTGCTCCCAGGCTGTCCTTACTCCCCAGTGTTCCAACCAGCACTGACACAGGAGCCCAGAACCCACCACACCCCTGGGAGGGGACCCTGAGCCTCTCCTTGGGCTGGATGGCATGCCTGAGGCGTCCCAGGCTGTGTTGACACCAGGTCACCTAGGCCAGGACCGAGCCGGGGCCACCCTGCCCTGCACAGCCTCCTCCCAGCTTCCTGCTCCGCAGGGCTTCCGGTTGCCAAGGGCGGTGCCCCAACTTCATGCTTGGGGTTGCTGGCCATGGGGTGGCGAAGGGCTGGCCTCGAAATCGCATCCATCCATCCATCCTCCTGCCTCAGCTCTCAGGTGCTGGGATGACAGGTATACACTTGTTTTCTTTCTGTTACAAGTGAGAGAAGCTGGGCTTGTAGAGGGGCAGTCCCTGTCCCTGGAGTGGCCCAGGCCAGGGTCTGCCCACAGCAGTTCTTTCCACACATCTGTCCAGGTAGCCTCTGACATCAGAAGGCATGAGCCCCACCCAATCCTCAGACTCAGGCTTCAGGGACATGGGAAACGTGGCTCACTGGGGAGCCCGCATGGTGCTGGCAGTCTCTGCAGTTGGCCTGGCCCAAGCCCGGGCGCAGCTGTGGGTGTTGAGTCAGCTCGGCTCGGCTGCCGGCAGGCGCCGAGGTGGCCCGAGCGTGCAGAGCCCTGGCAGGCGGGGTGGCTGCCCGTGTCCACCTGCTCTCATGAGTCACGCAGCTGCCAGGCTGCCTCGCACCTGCCAGCTCTGCGTCTTCCTCCAGCTGCACCCTGCCTGGGACTGAACTGCGCTGGGCGGAGTCCCTGGAAATGGGTCCTGGGACCCCAGTAGGGCCAAGCTTCTGTTGCTTTGCATCAGGCAGCCGGCGAGAGGGGGCAACTGGAATCCAGGGCTGGGGCCAGAGAGCAGAAGTGGCCCTAAAATCTGAGCGTGACAGGGTTAGCAATGGCAGAGCCCCCCAGGGAGGGCGGGGAGAGGTCAGAGAGGGATGGGCAGGGCCGTGGGCATCTCCCGTGATGCATCCTGCAGGCCCATCTCCGGCTTGGCTTGTTGAGGCAAGGTCTTGCTGTGTAGCCCAACTGAGCGTGACCTCATGATACAGCCAGGGCTGACCCTTGATCCTCCTGCCTCAGCCTCCTGAGTGCTGGAATGACAGGCGTGGCCACCACCTCAGCTACCTTTTCCTCAAGTAGAGATGTACCGACGGGCCTGACTCACACCATTCAAACCCTGGCGCGTCCAGCAGCACCTGGAAGCGCTCTATGTTCGGGGCTCCCCTGACGTGGGCTCTCTTGCTGCTTCCCGTTCCTGATCTTGCAACAGCCTGGCAGCTACAAAAGAGGCCAGGAGGGAAAAACTCGAGCCTCCTGATAGAGCGGATGGCAGCACCTGGCCCCCAGGAACAGTGACTGTTTGCAGGCAGCCCCCCACCTACCTGAGCCTCCTGTGCATGTGTCTCCTCCTAGGAGACGTCTCCAACAGCAGCTCTTGGGGGGCGCAGAGGGGGTGCACTGATTTCACTCCGGGAGCTGGGTTTGTGCAAAGATTCATGTCTCGGTTTAAATGGATGAAACACCAGGACACCGAGGCCGTGTGGACCCTGCGGAGGGGCCTTTTCCTAACACCATCTCCTTTGCAAACGCATCCATGTCCCTAAAAATAGGGATCCTCCTGCCTCAGCTGGACTCCTCAGGGAGATTTCCCTTTAGCCTCTTCCGTAACCACAGTATTTTTTAGTCAATGTTTAAGTGACTTAAAGGTAACTGTTACTCACTGTTCTTTTTTAACTAAAGATATTTATTGGTACTTTTTAAATACACACAAGGATGCCTCTTATCAGAAAGGCTGTTATTCGCCTTTAAGAAAAAAAATCTCTTTAGATTTTAGGGAGGGACCGGTAAAGATGTCCAGCAAAACCGCCAGCACCAACAACATAGCCCAGGCCCGGAGGACCGTGCAGCAGCTGCGGCTCGAAGCCTCCATTGAGAGAATAAAGGTGAGGCCAGGTGGGCTGGGGTTCTCAGCTTACAGGTCATCTCCCCCTGCTCCCCTGGACTGGGGCGCCGGTCAGAGATGAGACGCCCTCTAATTCTGCTTTCTCTGGGACTTCCTGGGGCAGGCCAACAGCACAGAGTTTTCGTTTTTATTTCCTACTTATTTCAAAAGAGCTAAAGTGCCAGGCACGGTGGTACATGCCCATAATCCCAGCACTTGGGAGGCTGAGGCAGGAACGTCCCTGGAGTTTAAGGCCAGCACATAATGAGACCCTGTCTCAAAAACAAAAGAAGAGCTAAGTTACCAGATGTCTGAATGGGCCCCTCCTGGAACCCTGGGTAGGTAACAGCTGTCTGTCCCCAGGGCGAGCACCAACAGCTGCAGATACTTGTGGAAGCCAAACGCATTTCTTAGGACCCCAGAGGGGGCAGGGCAACCAGAGCCCTGGAGAGCTGGGACCCGCGACCTTCCCAGCTACAGAGCTGTCACCCGATTCCTCAGGGAACCAGTTGTCTGTCTTCAGGGTGGCCTGTGCCCCACGCTCCCTGCCTCAACGCCCAATCTGGTCACCCTGCAGAGTCCCCACCCAGACACCCAGAACTTGCAAGGCAATGGTGGCTCCTGCACCCCGCTGCCACCCATGTACCCCACTCCCGCCTCCAGTCCGCACTTCCTTTCTCAGTCATTCGGGGCTTCTGAGTCCTGGTCCGCTTGCTTAGATAGAAGGGAAGCTGCAGCCCCACCTTGCTGCCCTCCTGCAGGACTTGGCCCCCTGAGGGCTGTAACAGCCTCGCCCTCTGGTTCCCAGTAGTGGGCGCCTGGCTGAGTCTGCTGGCCCCACTGTTCTGCACTTGCATGCACTTGCACGCAGGAGGCCCCAGCATGTCAAGTTACCTGTGACAAGGTCCCCCTGGGCCAGCATCCGTGTAGGGAGAATCCTGGCCACTCAGGTTGCAGGACCCTGGTCACTTGCACTGGGACCTTTCCCAGAGGGTCTAGGCCTCAGGTCCACCACTTGGGCCCAATGCAGCTGCTTCTGGTCTCATGACCTTTCCTGCCAGCACCCTGCCTGTGCAGCATGGTCCTGGGCTGCCACCCTCCCTCCAGGGGACTGAGGTGCTGTCCTGTGTCTCCTGCTGTGTCACAGGTGTCTAAGGCGTCTGCGGACCTCATGTCTTACTGTGAGGAGCATGCGAGGAGTGACCCTCTGCTCATCGGAATCCCGACCTCGGAAAACCCTTTCAAGGATAAAAAGACCTGCACCCTGCTCTAGTGGGGGAAAGGCGCCCCTCCCCTCCCCCTCCTTCCCCCTCTTCCTTCCCTCCTCCTCCCCCTCCTGCCTCCCTTCTCTCCTGCCCTGCCCCCACCTTCTCCCAGTCCAGAGCAGCTCCTGCCCAGCTCTGCCTTGAGCTCTCCTGCACCATGCTCCTAACTCCGACACTCTTCTCGGGGAAGGACGGACTGATGTCTCCAAGCTCCCAGCTGCCCTTTCTTTGCAGTGCCCCTCACTGATTTCCGGCAGGATGCGACCTTGTTGCCCAGGCGGGAGCTTCGGGGTGGGGTGGGGTTGCTGGATGAGGCAGGTGGTTCTGGGCCTCGCACAAACACCGCTCTAGACGCCAGCCTGCAGATGCTTCAGGGAAGCTGAGACCCACATTGGCTGAGCACCTGTCAGATTAAAATGCCAAGAATGACTTCAATCCCACAGCCTTTGTGCCACAGGAGGTTCCTCGGGCCGTGCTAACCCGTCAGCACCCGAGGGAGGACTGTAGGGCGTGTCTGTGTATCTCTGTGTGTGCACTCATCAGTTTGTTTCTTCATGGAAACTGTCCTGTCTGTGTAACATCGGTTGCCTGACACCAGAAGTTATACCTGTATCTTGAGTTCTATGTAGGAAGAATAAAAGATTATTTTCAACCTAGGCATGCACATCTGTCATTCCAGCACTTGGGAGGCTGAGGCAGGAAGATTTCTGTTAGCTCAAGGCCAACCTGGACTACACAGGAAGACCCTGTCTAAAAGACATAATTTTCATACAGTGATGGTACAAAAAGAAAAGAGAGGCCAGCGTAAAGATTAGAGACCTTACAATCAACAACTCAGCCTCCCCTCTCCTGAAATCCTGCTGCACCCTAAGCTGCTCTCAGCTGCGCCAAGCCCAACTCAAGGCTCAAGGCGGAAAGCAAGCCCAGGGGCCAAGTGTTATTCACAAGGAGCTGGGGACCTAGGGGCCCCGGGTTTAGGAAAGGAGAGGAAACGGAGGGGAGGGTGCACCTGGAAGTCTCACCTCAGGATGGGGCTCAGACACCTCACCCCAAACCATAGGGGACCCCTGAGCCTGGGCAAGGTGGCAGTAGAGATGTTAAAAAGCCCTCGTCTGGCTGTGAGATCAGCGCCCCTTGAGGTCCCTGTCTTACTGTGTCTCTGCCCAGATCCTGCTTTCTGTGGTGACAGTCCCCTAGCAACTCCGGGGACTGGGACATGGTGGGAAGGTGACACTACACCTGGGCCCTTATGGAGTCGGGGTTGGTGCCGGGGTCTGGGTGAGGGATCCAGCCGTGCGTTCCTGGCATCCCTGGTCCCACAGCTGCATGCTGAGTGCTGGGTTTCCCCCGGACACTTCCCGGGACTGATTGCTCAGTGTGCAGTTTGCTGCTATAGTTCCGAAGCCTGACCTGCTGCCCACCCTCACTGCTGCCTCACAGGGCTCATCCTGGGGTGGCACTCGCGCCCCGGCTCCCAAGGCAGGTGAATCCCTGCAGAACTGGCAGGGGACAGAATGGGGGCTGCAGGCTCCTGGGAAGTCGCTATTGGCCTTGGCTGCGTGGAATGAAGACCACAACCGGAGCACATGGAGCAGGCGCAGCACGGTTCCCGGAAAAAGTGGCACCGGTCGCCTGCAGGCCCCAGGGGAGCTGCAGTGGAGGCCACTTTACTTAGAAGCCCGAGTCTATCTGGGGCAACGTGGGTGTCTGCTGGTGCGGATAGGGCGAGCAGGCGGCGCTGCTTTATCTGCACCCCTTCTGCAGGGAAGCCAGGGCTTAACTGCCCACAAGGCTCGGCCCCAGATAAGGGAAGCCTGGGCCCAGAGCCGGATTCTTCCTGCTACCGCCAGGGTGAGGCGTCTACACAGCACCCAGCCTTGTTTCCATAACAACCTGAGTGTGCTCTGGCTTGTGCTCCTTAAAGCCTTCCATTCACCCTCCAATTTTATTTTATTTTTGCCTTTTTGAGACAAGGTCTCGCTATGCACTTCAGGCTGGTCTTGAGCTCACTTGGAAGCCCAGGGTGGTCTCCCACTTGCAATGATCCTCCTGCCTCAGCCTTCCGAGGGCTGGGATGACAGGTGTGCGCCACCATGCCTGGCTCCATCATCAGCTTCTCAGGGCACCTGTCTTCTCTGCCTTGCACAGAGAGGCCTTAGACTGTTGCTAGCCAGGGGAGCAAAAATCATGGCTCCAAAGCTTCGCAGGGAAACACATTTTCTTTAAATAAGGGAAATATTTACTGGGTGACCATAGCTCTGGGTTGTAACTGTTTTCCTTTTGTTTGAAACAAAAAACAAAAAACAGTCCAGTGTTTTAATGGCTTCCCTTACTACAGTGACAAGGACCATCCCTCTAGAGGAAAAGCTGATTTGTTTTTCCCGTGTTTGGGCTGCTTATGTTCCTCCCTAATCTCTAAACTATCAGGGGAACAGAGACGCTGTGTAACAGCGATCCAGTGATTTCGGCGCCTGGATTTAATTTCTGCAGTGCAAGGCGCCCAAAGTTTCTCTTCAGACACCACCTTCCAAACCAACCTGTTTGTCCCCAGCTTGCTCCCATCATCAATCCGCATCTCCCAGAAGTGATTTGCAGCCCCACACGCTCGAAGCCCCAAGCCCCAGTCCCCGTGAGTCCGCATCTGATCCACCAAGAGTGAGATCTGTTCCTCTCTCACGGTTGGCAGTGACCTCTCTGTCCAGCACCTTTGTAACCCTGACACCGTGACCGTGCTTGGAAATCAGCTGTGCCCAAGGCCTGGAAGCCTCCCCTCCCCCGGCAAGGCCACAGGTTTGGAAGGTGTCTCCTGGGCACGATGGCTCTGCTGGCCGGGTCAGGGCCTGGCTGTGTCCCTCCAGCCACATCTCATAAGTGGGTAACAGTCGGTGTCTCTGCCCGCGTCCTTCCTTGAACCCACATTTCCTGAGCAGCTGCTGGGTGGTGCGAGGCAGCTCTGGTGACGCACACGTCACTAAGGCCCCCAAGCTCCTGCACCTAGAGGGGCAGGCGGATGGCGGGGTACACACAAGGTCCTCACAGAGCCGGGCCAAAAGGAAGGTACTCGGCCAGTGTCCCCATCCTCTGTGGCCATCCTGGGGCAGGAGACTGGTGAGGCTTGACAGGAAGAACATGAGGACACCCATGGACCAGGCGGGCTCCCTTCCTGAGACCTGGCCATTACCATGGAGACAGGTAACCAACAGGACGGGATCAGCCATGGTGACACGTGGCTCCTGCTGTTCCCTCTCTGGCAGAGGGTGAGCCAGGCAGCTGGGACTCACCTGGCCCGAGGTGGGAACACATGGGTCTCCCACCCTGATAGAGCCCTGGAGGACCCAGGGATCGGCTGGGAGGGCGATGAGGCGGGACAGACATCAGTGCAAGGGTAGATGGAGCACATGGCTCTGGCTAGCGCCTGGGACTTTGCCTGTGTGACTGTTGGTGTCCTGACCCCAGCTGTCACCAGCCTTTGTTGGCAGGAGACACAGCTGATCACAGTCACATGGAGACGCCCCTCGGCCACCTGTCTGCTGCTGTTCTGTTTGTCTGAGACTGGTTCCTGCCGTGCAGTTCAGGCTCCCTTTGAACACACCATGTAGCCCAGGCTGGGCTCAAATTCATAGCAATCCTGCTTGCCCTCAGCCTCCTGCATGTTGGGACAACAAGGGTGACACACCACCGTGAGCCCTCTTTCTGGGGTGCGGAAGACAGATGCTCATGCGTCCTCCATGCACAGCTCGCAGAGCCGGGTCCCCGAATCCCGGCAGCTGTCTGGGCCTCAGCCTCGGCTCCACCCTGCCACACTGGCCAGTGTGTGCTAAGGATCAGCATGGGACTTTCGGGGTTTTGAAGCAGGTCTCCATCACCCTCAGGGTCATTCCAAGACCTCAAAGTCTGAAACCCTAAGGGCTCCTCCAAGCTCCCCCTTTCCCAGCTGCCTGGGGCACAGTTTTGTTTATTGTGGCGGGGTCTCACTATACAGCCCAAGCTATTCTCAATCTTGCAGAGACCCTCCTGCCTCTACCTCCTGAGTGATGAAATGACAGGCGTGCACCACCACACCCAACCTGGTGGACACTTGTTTATAGTCATTCAAAGACTCAAAACAGAGTACATAGAGACTAAGCCTACCCCCCACTCCCTAAAACTCAGTCAGTAGCTTTGATTTCACTTGGTTATCATGCCAGGGCCTAGAGGCCTCCTTTGGGAGTTAATTACCCATCATATCCCACACTGGCCCACTCGGACCCACGCCCTCTCCCAAGGTCAGCTGAGACCCCCGCCACAGCCGCCAGCTCAGCAGCACCACGGCCTGCTGTGCCCTGAAGTTGCAGGAGAGTCTCTGACTAAGCAGCAGGATCACCAGAGTGGACAGGTGGCCAGGCCCGGGACAGATCTCTCCTTGAGGCCAGGGTAGCAGAAGGAAGAGGGAGGCCAGGTGGGTGGTACACACCTGTGCCCCCCAGTACTTGGGAAGCTGAGTCAGGAGGGTTGCCACAGATTCCAGTGCAGCCTGGGCTGCTGGGTGAGAAGGAGGAGCACTTGGCAGCCGTCCTCCCTTTATGCTCTCAGCGCCGGGGCCCTGTCTGGTGCATGGTGGCCAGCCGGGGAGTCCAGTCCATCAGCGTGAACCATGCATGGCTCAGAGATCTGAAGTCACTGTCAGGGCAAAGTCCTCTGAGCTGCATCTGTGGGGGCGAAGTCCACGCTCAGGAGAGGCCTGTAGAACATTCTGTTCCCATCTCCACCTCTCTTCCTAACCCTAATTCTCCAGGACACATGCAGGCCCGCTGCTCTGTGGGCCCCTCCAGCTCCTAATCATGCTTCAGGACCCTGTTAAGCATGTCCCTGTCCTGGGAGGCTTCCTGATCACCACCCAGAGGGCGCACACATGCACACATGCACATACACATACCCACACACACCTGCACATGTGCATGGCCATTGACTCTGGGAGTGTTGGGCTCCATTGGGCTTCGTGTATGTGGACCAGGGATTCAGAAGCGTGGCCCAGTTGCCTGGGGGAGATGAGATCTCTGTGCCTGCAGCAGAGGTACTGAGGAGTGAGATTCTCGGGAGTGGAGGATAGGTCCAGGGGTCCATCCACGTGGAGAGGAACACAGGCACTAGGGCCTGGTGGATGGTGACCACCAAGTGATCTAGGACTCCAGCTCAGCGCTTTCTGTTCATCTTACACAGCCCTCGACTGCAGGGCCTCTTTACCCCCCTCTTCCCTGCTGTGCTACCTTGTTCTGTTCTGAGACTACAGTGTCTCCCGGGTAGCTTAGGCTGACCTCAAACTGAGGCAGTCCTGCCTCAGCCTCCCAAGCGCAGGGCCTGCTCCGAACACCTGGCTCTAGCCCCCTATTACAGAAATCCCAGGCTTGAACTCAGGGATCCTCTGCTTCTCTAGCTGCCCGGATCCCTGCCTGGGCTCCCTGTCCTGCCCAACCCCCACACACCCATCTCCCACCCGCCCCCACTCTCTGCCAGGCACAGGAGCTGAATTGCAGGGTTTTCCCAGGTGGCCGCTTCTGCCCGAGGACGATGATGGAACTCTGCTCACTGGCAGCATGGAGGCCACCCAGTCTCCACACCATCCTTTCCTCCAATAGAAATTCCTGGATGTTTGCACAAACGCTCAGCGCCCCCCTGACTGATGGGGATCTAGACTGGGAACAGTCCTGTCCCGTCCTCTCCACCAACGTGTCACTTCCTAGCCCCCTCCTGCCCTGTCCCCCTCTCCCCACTCTGCCACACTTCTCAGATCAGTGAGAGATTGGATGGGTTGGTCTCAGCTCCCCAGGTGGGAAGGAATCTGGGCCAGGGCGATTCTCAGAAAAATTCTCCCCTGCCTTGGAGATGTCCCCACAGCTCTGGAAAAGGACTGGGAAAGGACTAAATTTTAAACTAGAAAAAGCCACCCACACCTGTGATCTCAGCACTCAGGAGGCTGAGGCGGGGGGATCCCCACGTTTGAGCCCACCTCGGGCAGCTTCGAGACACAGCAAGGCCTCAAAATAAAAATTAGAATACAGAGCTGGGGGTGCAGGCAGTGGGAGGCCTTGGGTTTCATCCTCGGCCCTAACAACAAGAACAAAACCCAGAGATGGGGGCAGGGAACAACTATTTCCCTGGGTTCCCGGGGTTCTGTGACTGCCATGGGTTATAGTAGGCCTGGTGGCAGCCTGAACCTACATACTCTCACCTTTGCGGGGCTCACATGCACACGCACCCGTAAAGGGTAAGCAGCCTGAGAGGCACCAAGAGGCTTCTCAGGATTCTGCATTCTTCTCGGGATGTCTGCAGCTGCCAGCAGGGTGATAATCAATGAGACAACCAGTCAGTCAATGAGCCAACCAGTCAGTAAGTCAATCAAGGATATGTGTGCTCTTTGCACAGAACAATGGTAGTTTCAGATCAAAGAGCTGCCTCCTTCCCTCCTTGCTGGCTCTGTCTGCCCCAGGGCTTTTGCTCTTTGAAGTCCCGAAGGGCTGCCCTAGGTCACCTTTTGTTCCTGTATCTCAAGACAGGAGTGCTTGCTTGGAGTTTAGAGGCCCAGGCAACAGCTGGCTTTTTCCTGGACTCCAGAAGAGTGGCTCGTTAGCCCCTGCCCCAAGGCTAGCCACTGGCTATCAGCACTGGTTCTGTTCACAGAGGTCCTTGTCACCCCTCAAGACCCCCCCCTCAAAGCCCCCCCCCCATCGCATCCACAACTCTGTGGATTGACCCCAGAGCCACTGGTACCAGGTAAAGCGTGCTACACCCCCAGCCATTGTTACTCCTGTTTACTAAGAGACTCAGGGCGCCCTGGAAAGTACGGTCCTCCTGCCTCAACCTCCCCAGTGCTGGGGTGACAGCCACGCGTGGCCACCACGGCGGGCTCTGTGTGGCGGGTCTCAGACCAGCAGCTGCAGGATTGATCCTCGGTGAGAGGTTGGCGGCATCCAGGTCCCTGTGACCTTATGTCCAGTGAGCTCCATCTTCTTCTGATTGAGTTCCGACACGGTGTTCACTTCGCACTCTGTGCAATCAGGAAAGAGGACCAAACAGAGCCCCGGAGCCCAGCCCTGCTCAGATCTCCACAAGCAGAGCGATCTCATGCCCTCCATGGACACTAAACTCGGGGCAGGGTCAGAGCCTCGTGCAGTGATGCGGGTTCTGTGCGTGTGAGGAGCAGCAGCTCTGAGGCCTGCTATGTTTCCTTGCTGCAGTCACCTGGATTTTAATAAAAGACACCATGAGAATTCATTGCTGTTGTCATTGTTTGGAGAAAGGGTCTTGCTTATAGAGCCTGGGCTGGCCGCAAACTCTGGGTGATCCTCCTGCCTCAGCCTCCCGTGTGCTGGGCTGACAGGCATGCGTCAGCCCTGACCAGACCCATGGGCCTGCGTTCATCATTTCTCTTCATTCCTATACTTCTTGTCAGTTCAGCCCCTGTCGCCCCGGTAACATCCAGGCCCAGGCTCTGGATCAGGGTCACTTCCTGCCTTCCAGGAGGCCCCTGGCCAGTAGTGATGTCTCCGTGATTCGGATGAGGAGTGTTGCAGAGGTGCTGGTCTCTCTGCTCCACCCACCTGATAACCGTTGGGCTATGCTCCTTCATTCCGCTGTAGAGGAGTTTTACTCACAGCGGTAGAGAAAAGGGATTAAAACCCCATCTTTAATAAGAAGGTTAAAAATTCCACTGTTGAGAGGCAGCTAGCTTTGGGGAAGCTGAGGCAGGAGGATTGCCATGAGTTCAAGGCCAGCCTGGCTTACATAGTAGCAGCCTGTTTTACAACACAAAGCAGAACAAAGAACCCCCCTGGGTAATGCTCTCTGCTTTTACTTAGCTTCTGGTGACCAGAAAGCCAGCCCTGGCCCAGCCATGCTGGACTTCACAAGCCCACAGCTACAGACCACACAAGGCCAGGCCCACCCCAGCACCTGGCACAGTGCAGTGGCTCTGTGGCTCTGACTTGGGTCTCTCTGTCCTGAAAGCCCGCGGTCCTGAGGCACAGAGGGGAGGACAGGAGGCCAGGGAGCTGCGCTTCCCTTCCTCGGCTCTGCTGCCCACTGTCCCAGCAGGGGGGCCACCCCTCCCCCCAAGCCTTTCACTTCTTTTGCCTCTTTCCTCTCTGAAGTCTTCCTGCTGCCCAGATGGAACAGCCCAGGGCCAAGGCAGAAATGCTGAGCTCAGGACCTGGCGAGGGATGGCACCCCCATCCTCAGCACAGGGAAAGCCGGGCGTCCCTCCTGGAGCCCTCCCCTGGGCCAAGAGCCCGGACCTGCTGACACCTGCAGCACAATGGTGGCACTAGCTTCCCCAAGGCCTCCACAGCCCCACAGTGCCAAGAGGGAGCCCTGAGCCAGGAACTCAGGGGCCTTATCTTCCCGCACCAGAGGCGCAGCCCCGTCCCCCAGCTGGTTCTGTCCCTCCTGGCCCGACACCCTCACCAGCGCAGCTGCAGCAGCGTCTGTCTTCCCTGCAGCTAGAGAAACCTACTCATGTCTCTGCAGTGGAGCCGGGGATGGTGGCAAACTTGTCATCCCAGCACCGTGCAGGCTGAAGCGGGAGGATCATTGCCCAAATTCAAGGCCAGCCTGGACTACATAGTGAGACCCTGTCTCAAATAAATAAATCAACAAATTCTTCAGTAGAAGTCTCACCTATCTTGCAGGCAACTTTTTTTTTTTTTTTTTTTTGCATCTGTACATGATATATCTTTGGTACATTTTAGGTACATACCATGATCACATTCATCATAGGGCTGTGTACCTGTACGTGATAGAACTTGATTTTTTTCCCATTCCCCTACCCTCTCTTCAACCCCTCTTCCCTCATTTACAAAAGCTTTGTTTCTGTTTAGTTCTTGTATTTTTTTTTCTTGTTCCTCTTTCCTTTCCCCCACCCTCTCCCCTTCTCAGTGAAACACTTTCTTTCCATTTCCCAATGTCTATTATACATTTCAGCCCTTATTTACACTTTCAGTTTTTTACACCAGAGAAACCATTCCAGGAACCTTGTTATTTCTCATTTTGAGACAGGCTGTAGCTAAATTGCCCAGGCTGAGGTCAAACTTTCAATCCTCCTGCCTCAGTATTCCACAGTACTCAAATTACAGGACCACACCAGCAAACCAGGCCTTTTTTTTTGGGGGGGGGGTGTAGTTTTGTTGTTACCAGATTGCTTAGGCTGGGGTTGAATTATTTAGATCCTCCTGGCTCAGCCTCCTATGGCATTAGGATTACAGGTACCCTGCAGGTTACTTTGGAAATGCTTCCTGGCTTCCACAGTATGTTGCATAAATTCTTCTAATACCACTATCATCATGAAATGGTTAATTTTACAAGCTGATTCTCTATCCATTCCTTCTAAAGCCAGTCTCAACCCTCTTAAGCAGTTATTTGTTTTATTTGTTTGGTTTGGTTTTTTAGAGAGGCTTTCTCTATGTAGCCCAGGCTGGCCTTGGACTCACAGAAATCTTCCTGTCTCAGCCTCCCAAACTCTGGGATTACAGGTGTGGGCCTCCATGCTCAGGTCTTAAGTGACATTTTGGTGAGTTTCCTAACCTTAAAAAGAGGAGGTTGTCAGCAAAATGTCTGTGCTTCAAATATGTACTAACAAAAAATAATAGAAATAAAGTCCGAGTTAGAACAGACAAGAGCAGGCGTAGAGAAAGAATGCAATTATTCCATTCTGCTTTATTTAGGTATTGTGATTCAAAAACTTGTATAGCATAAATAACTTCTCACGTCATAAAATAACTTAGTACAATTTATAATAAAACTTGTGAGAATTTAACATCTCATTCAAATACAATAAAATATGGTTTTAAAGTACAATGACCCCTTCTGGGTTTTCTTTTACTGGAGAGCACAGACACCCCAAACACCCGCACTCCAGCTGCACATTTCAGCTGGAAAGCTTGCAGGGTCCTAGTTTAGCGACATCCTAAATGCACGCAGAGGTTGCCTTCGGGCTCGGATCTTTGCGAGATTTGCTCCTTCCAGCTTGGATTTCAGTTTCCACACGGCTCCCGCCCTCCTTTCTCCTCTGTTCATCTCCAAAGTCCTCTATCACTTTGGGCCCCCAGAACACGTCGCCGAGCTCACTCAGCCCCTCGGCCTCAGTTTCCCTAATCCAGCGTCCGTGTGTAGGGGGGAACCGCAGTCACTACAAAGGTATCTCACAACTTCAGTGCCGTGCGGCTGGCTTGGTGCTCCTGGGCAGGGCTGCATCACCGCTCCGGAAGATTAATGACCGGAACCCACTGGTCCATGTAGCGGCTCTCCCGGCAAAAACAAATGAGCTGGCTGAGGGCCGGGTCTTTCCATGGCGACGCATGTGGATTCTGGGAACAATGATGCAGAGGTTAATGTCCCGGACAAGCAACCCGCAGTGACTGGTCCTGACTGCTTCTGGCGGGAAGCCATGGGGCACCCTGCATGCTGGCTATGGGACAGGGGGACGGGAGATCGGCACACAAGAAAGTCAGGCACCGCCAAGGCAGCTGAGTGTTTTCAAAACTGTCAACAGGATCCCTGCAAAGTCTGCATGCAGGGAGCTGCAGAGCCTCTGCTGGGTTTCCAAGCCCCCTTCACGGGTGTGCCACCCAGACCTGTGCCCGGCACAACAAGGAGAACGTTTACGATCCTGCAAAACAGTCCTCCACTGCGTGCGTGAGGAGTGTGAGGACTGCCACCTGTTATCCTCCCAAAACACAGAGCAGCACTTTCCAGGGGCGGCAGAATAACGGGGCACCGCTTCCCCCTAACCAGGCAAAAAAGGAGTGAGGTCCGGAAGCTCACGCCAGCACATTGAACTCGGAAAACGCAACTACCAGGAGTTTCCATCCAGAACATAAAAACGCAAGGCTGCAAAGAAAACCCCTCTGCACCAGCCCCCCAAAAGCACTTCTAAGGAAGGCACAGGTCCGTCTCCTACACCCTTCCTATTTTTAGCGTGCCCTGGCAGGGAACCAGGCCGGCTTCTTACTGGGGGGGGGGGGGGTGAGCCAGAATTTCTGTGGCTTTATCTAATCTGCCCTGCTAAAGGAATTAGTCACGCGAGCCTGTGCGAGCTAGGTGGGGAGTCGCCGGCCCTGCTGACTCACACCCTTCCGCTGGGCAGCCGCCAGCATGCTTAGACATGCTGGTCCCCAGAAAGTCCCCATGATGAAACTGGCACTCCTCGGCCGAAAGTCGGCCGGCTGCTGCAGGGGGCAGGGGTAGCTGCCCTGCCCGCGGTCTTTGGCCCTGTCCCTCTCTCTCCTCCGCCATCCCGGCTGGGTACACGCTGTGCCTCGACCCTATTGCTCACCGTCACCAGCACGCAGTGCAGGTCTGGGGGCTGCGCGGCACCCTCGCCCCCCGCGTCAGCGCCCAGCAGCAGCAGCTCGGCCAGGCGGCCCGGGTTGCTGACCCGCAGGATGTCGATGTCGTTCTCGCAGCAGAAGGCCTGAATCAGGGTGAAGTGGATCTGCAGGGCCACGTCCCTGTCGTCGTCCTCGTCGGCCGCCAGCAGGCACAGCACCACGTTATCCGGGTCGCTGCGGAGCACCGGGTGGGGAGACGGGGCGTAAGTGCAGAGGCCGGGCCGGGTCACCCCGCGGGGCCCCGGGGCAGCGTGGTGGCATCGCCGAGGAGGTCGCACGGGGATGGCCCGAGGGGACAGCGAGGGAGCACTTACACGTTGAGCAGCTTGGCCGCCTCGTAGACGCCGACGGTGAGGCTGCGCTGACTCAGGGCTTTGCTAAGCACCTCCTGCAGGGCATCGCCCACCGTGTCCATCCTGCGTGCGCGCGGCGGGCGTCAGTGAGAACCTGGCCTTCTCCACAGAGCCCCAGCCCCGCCCCGACCTGCCTTTCCCGGGCCCGGCCCGGCCCCGCCGCCGCCCCGGTCCGGTCCGGACGCGCCCGGGCAAACTTTCCTACGCGCGGCCCCCTGCATGGGGATGCGCGAGGACGGCCACAGCCCCGGCCGGCCGCTCACCTTTCGGTTTTCTGCTCTCCGGCTGGGAATTCCTCCAGAGTCATATTGCAACCGCAGGTCCCCCACCGAGAGCGCGGGTGCGTGTGGCACGCTGGGTCCCCGCAGCCACTGGGTCCCTCGCGCCGGGACGAGCGCGACACCAGCTGGCAACTGCCACCCAGCCACTGAGGACAAAGGGCCAGGCTCCCGGAGTTATCTGGCCAAAGCTCCGCCAACCACAGCCCGTCTCATTTGCATGTGGCGCGGCCATTGGGCTATGCAAATTAGGTGATGTAGCAATTTGACCCCAGCTCCCGTAGCCGGGCTGAGAAGAGCGGAAGAAGGAGCGGCTTAGTTACTCGGAAGGCGGGGAGAGGGGCGGGGCGGGGCCGAGCCTGCAGGGGGCGGGACACTCTGATGGGAGGCTCGGGTCACAAGGGTCGAGGGGTCGCGGAGTGGGGGCTAGGGGAGAGGATGCCAGGGCCTGGAGGTGACTTTGGCTGGGACGGAAGCATTCAGCCAGTGTTCTACTGGGTGCACCTTTTTTAATGATGGGTTCGTATCTTTTAAGGGATTGCTGTTTGAATATTTCCAGAATGCACCCAAGTCTGGTAATTATTAGTAAGCGAGTTATATTTGAAAAAAAAAATTTTTAAGAAGAAAAGTGTGTCCAGACCTCCCGGGCAAAGTTTACCCAGAAGTGTTGTTTACGTAAGTGCAGGCCAGGCTGCTCATTAGTAGTAGAATTACTCCGGTGCCCTGATGGCGGCTTTGATTTATTTTTGGAAGGCTGTGAGGGTTGGAAGCGCAAAAAAGAAAAACCAACACATTTGTGTTTAGCAGTGGCAGCGAGCCAAGGTGGAATCTTTTCCAGAGAGAGCAGAAAGGCTTCCCGTCTGACTCCGGAACCCCTGAGCTGCCCGCGAGCTAGGGGGCCAGGTGCCCAGGCTGGGTCCCAGCTGACGCCCATCCAGTCCCCAGAGATGGGCGCTGGGGTAGGCGCTGTGTAGCAGCTGCTGAGAGCATCTGTTGCCCACAGAGCCAACCCTGAGTGCCCACACCACTCTTGGTGACTTCACTATGAATTATTGATCTCGGCTGCTGAATCACAGAGCTGCAGCTACGGTGGGACAGTGCAGTCAGACGCTAAATGTCACCCGTGAGATCATGCAAGCTGGAGGAGGCAAGTGGAGGACAGACCTTTGTCACTGCAGCTCGGAGTCACAGTGGCCTAAGAACAAACTTTAACTGACAGGCGGTCCTTGCATACTCCCAAGTTCCTGCCTTTGTTTTATAAGTTCACACATAAAGACAAAACATTTCAGAGACCCAGGGAACCAAAGTGTGAAGGTGGAAAAGGCTCACACACACACACACACACACACACACACACACACACCCTGGCTTCAAACCCTGCTCAGCTTACTACGGTTGTGGTACAGCTGGCCACTGTAGAGGTTGGTTTCACAAAGGGCAGAGGGAATCTGCACCCGCATGGTTTGGACATTTTAGACCAAATATTTTCCAGCTTGGTTGATCTTGCTTTTTTATTTTATTTTTTTTTTCTGAGTGCATGTTTGCAGTTCACCTTTGCACTTGTGTGTGTGGAGCTGGCCCAGGCACAGAACACATCTGCACTCCTCTTCTCATCCACTTTCATCTCCCTTCTCTGTCCTCCTCTCCAAACCTTACCCTTTGAGAAAAATCTGCCTACTCACTTTTTATTATCTCTCTTTTATTGTGCTTTTTATAATCTCTCTTTTTTTTGCACCAGGAATTGAACTCAGGACTTTATGCTTGCCAGGCGGGGGCTGTGCCACAGAGCCTTTTCCTTGTCTGTATTTATAATTTCATATGAGAAATACCATGGAAGCTGGGTGTGGTGGCTCATGCCTATAATCCCAGCACTCAGGAAGCTGAGCCAGGATAATCATTACAAATTTGAGACCAGCCTGAGCTACAAAATGAGCTCAAAGCCAGCCGAAACTGCATAGTGAAATCTTGTCTCAAAAAAGAATGAGATACCATAAAATATCTAAGCTTGCATGTTTGATTTATTTCACTTTGATTTATTTCATTATGGAAGACTCAAGTTTATCCTTGTTTATGACAGAGTAGTAGTCTGTGGTCTGTCAATACCACATTTTCTTCATCTCTTCCTCTGTTGATGGATATGGAGACCATTTCCATGATTTAGTTCTTGTGAGTTGTGTGCGAATCACTGTAAAAAGGATGTCCTTTAACTCTTCGGGGAAGATGCCTAGATACTGATCATTGTTGAGTGGAGACTGATTTTCTGGCCCGTTTGGCATACGGTCCCCAAGTGCACTGTCAGCTAGGGACAGTGTTTGACTAAGTGGGTGTCATCAGTGCCTGGTTCCCCCAGGGTGCTGCGGGGGACAATCCCAGCACTAGCTTCCCTGGTGCTGGGTTTGCCCTGAACATTGAGGTGAAGATCTTGCCCAGTGCCTGCGGATCCCAGGTTTGCTGCCTAGAGCTGAAAACAAGAAAAAAACAAAACAAAAAAACCCTCACCCTGCGCACTGAGGCGCAGGCCAACCCTGAATGTCACATGGAAGTGGCTGAGCTGTGCTCTGCAGACTCAGGGCTTCCTCCAGGTTCTGCTGGACTTTTCCTCCAGGTTCTTGGGAAGAAGTGTGACGGGGGGGGGGGGGCTCACCCCATCTCTGGGCAGCAGCATGATGACCTCGTTCGCTTGGTGTCGGCAGCATGGACACAATTCCCCAGTCCACCGGAAGCGGGGGTGGGGGTGGGGTGGGGTGGGGGTGGGTCCAGAATCTGAGATAAACAAAATCTCTGGATCCTGCAGTTCTGGGGGGTGCCCCCCTCCCCTAGGAAGTCCGAACCCCTGGGTCCTGTGACAAACCAAGCCCTTTCCTGTAAAGAGCCTCTGCTCTGATTGCTGTGGCCACGCTTGAGCTGGATTTGGGGACAAAACAGTTATTCCCTGTCATCAGCGAGCCGTGCTGGAAGTCCCATGACTTTAGTCATCCGAATGGCAGCCAGGGACAATGGGACAGGCATTGTGCACAGCAGAGTAACAAAACCCAGTCCCCGGAGCCCCGCCCAGCAGTGATCTGCAAAGTGAGAGTGCGGGGCACTCGGGAAACGCAAAGTCACGCCCTCAGGTGTGGCAGGGGTTTTCTCTGTGAGGTGACCTCATCCTCTGGTATCCGGAGAGAGTCTTGTCACGCCTGCCTGGGAAGCGTCACCTCAGGGTGCCTGGCTGCTGAGTCTCCCCAGGGTGCTTTGTCAGCCACCAGAGCCCCAGAGCTTCTGCGTTCAGTGGCTGCCAGACCATAACCACACAGGAAAGCTGCGGAGATTGTTTCTGTCTGTCAAGGATGCTTGTTTCTTCAGGGAGAGTTGACAGCCGGAGATCCATCCGGGGAATTTCTCCAGCTCAGCATAAGAGATGGAGTTTTATAGTCAGTGTAATGTCTACCAGTATACGAAGTCATGTTTTAAAGTACTCCAGGATCTGGGCATTGTACACACACCTGTAAATTCCAGCACTCTGGGATGCTAAGCAGGAGGATCCCAAATTTAAGCCCAGTCTGACCTACTTAGCAATATAGTAAGATCCTGTCACAAAATTTAAATATATATATATATATATATATATATATATATATATGTATATGTGTACATATAGGGTTGGCTAGTTCAGTATAAAGGTCCTGGGTTCAATCCTCAGTGCTGAAAAACAAAAACAATAAAGCACTAGTACATGTCACCCATGTACTAAAATTGTGTAGGATCAGAAGGACATTGTCATATTAGTAAGAATGTCAAATGGTTCTACTTGGAAATGGAAGCACAGACTCAAGAGTTGTTACATTATCACCCCTACTTGATTTGCATATTACAAATCTTTTTGAGAACAATCGTGGTGGTTCACACCTGTAATCCCTCACTTGGATCAGCACTTGGGAGGTTGAGGCAGGAGGATCACAAGTTTGAACCCCATCCGGACAATTTAGCAATGTAGTTAGAATTTGTCTCAAAACATTTTCAAACCAAGGCTGGGAATGTGGCTTAGCATGGAGGTACTGGGTTCAATCCTCAGTACTGTAAATAGTGAATAATTGGGGTCACTGCTTGGGAGCCCCGCAGGGATGGGGCTTCTCCCAGCAGACCTGACTAGCAGGGGAGGGATCCTCTCTTGGAGAGACAGGCCCCAGTCTCCGTCCTTGCTCTCTCCTCAGGGAGTGAAGGACACCTCAGAGCGAGGGATTTCTCCTCGACCAAGGAGACCTTGGAAGGCCACCTGCAGCTGGGTGGTGTCAGCCCTCGAGGCCCTCAGGAGCCGGCCAGACTCCTGATGGACAGAAATTGTGAGATTAAAAATAGAAGTTCTGGGGCTGGGGATTTAGCTCAGCGGCATAAGCACCTGCCTTGTAAGCGGGCGGTCGTGAGTTTGATTCCTGGTACCAATAAAAAGAGAAAAAAAAAATAGAAGTTCTTTCAGCAACTTTGTGGGAATGCGCTGCCTCCCATCAAAAGCTAACGTAACGCCTCTGCTGGCCTCTCTTCTAGCATTTACTTGTTTATTTGGGTTTTGTTTTGTCTTGTTTTGTTTAGAGGCAGGGTCTGCCTTTGCATTTGTAATATGCAAAGGCAGGGTCTCACTATGTAGGCTGACCTTGAACTCGAAGCAATCCTCCTGCCTCAGCCTCCCAAGTGCTGGGATCACAGGTGTGTGCCCTGGTACCTGGCTCTGTGTGTGTGTGTGTGTGTGTGTGTGTGTGTGTGTGTGTGTGTGTGTGTGCCTTGCCCTGGAGACACTCTAGCTACTGAGAATCACCTAGGTAGAATCAATTGTCCTGTGGTTTTGGGCCTTGGACCAAGGGTCTCAAAGACCAACAGAGCAGGCCCTGAGGTCAGGGTCTGAGGAGAAAGAGGCCCTCTGGGAGCTTCCTGCGCCCCTGTGCTGGGAAACGCCTAGCAGGCATCTGCCCGGAACACCGTCCTCCTCCGGGGCTCTGAGGCAGGCGGGCACCATCATGGAGGTCAGCACAGAGAGGCTTCAGAAACCTGGAACTAGGATTCCGTCCAGCATAGCCACCCAATCTGGCCTCCGGGCATCTCCCAGAATAAGTCAGACTTCTGGGTCTAGGAATCCATGCACACTGTTTACAGCAGCATAATAGCTGAATCCTGGAAGTGGCCTGTGTGGTT